TCACGAAGGATTGGGACGGCTCTATCGAGCAACAAAATCTGGGCATTTATTTATTTATATAGGTTTATTTTTTGCAGATGCACCACAGTCGAGCGCTGAAGGTCCGAGATGGTTTGATATCTATTTATAATCGGCTTCAATTGTGCTGCATCATTCACATCTATCTCTTCAACACAATTCATATCAGCAATTACAAATCACAATCATGCAGCTAAAATCTGGATTCGCGCACGGTGTTGGCGCTGTAAGGAGCACACGACGTCAGAGAACTATAACAGTCTTTAATAAATCCACAAGAGAAACTAAGAGAACACACAGCACTACCAACATGAAACATGCAATACAGGACAAAGGAACTCAGGAGAACACAGGGCTTAAATGAACGGAGACGAACGAGATCATTAATAAACACAGCTATTTATTTTTTTTTGTCTTGACTATATGTAAACATCTTTTATGTAAAATATCTTACTCAGGACAGTAGGCCTACTAAATAAAAAATAACATGCATGTTGTATGATCTCTCTTATTTTGTTAAAATTATTCACATTTTCACAGATTCTGCAAGGGGTTCCCAAACTTTCGCATGCCACTGTATACACACACACAGTATAAAATATATATAAATTTATGCTTTCAAACAAAGCTAAACTATTCTAAAAATATATATTCTACCCATATAAATAAATATATAAATGAAGAGAATATATTCCATTAAAAATCTCTCTCACACACACACACACATGCATAGTGTAAAATAAATATACGTAAAAAAAAAAAATACTAAACTGGGCTTGATTGGTCTGAAAGTGTAAACCAGCTGAAAATGACGTTTGAAGTTTATTTAGGCAATTTGTGTTATAGGTGGTTACTAGGCAGTTACTGAGCAGTTGCTAAGCAGTTGATACAGCATGATACATCGACAGAGAGCCAGACTCAGAAGACTCCATCAGTGTAAGTCTGAGGGATTTCTGGGATATTTCATTATCTGCTTGAAGTCTGACCAGTAAGAACAAGATAAAACGTCTAAAGTCAGAACAGGCTGGAGGTCTGCGGTGAGTCTGCTTGCTCCACAAGGACTCAGAGTCAGACATTTCACTCTTAGGTTTGAGAGAAGCCTGAGGCGAGTTTTCACACTAGCAGCATGTTAGCTCACATAATAAATCAAACACACGTTTCAATTTGAGTTTGTGTCTGACTATCGTGAAGCCAATAAAACAAACGCATCACACCTCATTAACACCGTGCGAGTCGCTGCCATCACGAAAAGTCACGGTCTCCAGTTCTTCGAGTTACTATAAAACACTGTCACATCTTCAGAAAGGCTCTGTTGTGTAGGAGAGGCGCAGTTGTGACATCTGTTCAGCCTGAGCTAATAATATCTCTCATCCGGCAAGAACTAAAGCACATCAACAACATTTACAAAGCAAATGAGATATAAAAAGCCAGCCTGAAATAAACCACTACTGACAAGATAAACTAGTTTACTGACGGTGCACGGTGATAGCGCTGTTTTCACTTTAACACACTTATCTGCGTGTCAGGACCATGTTATCTGGGAATAACGGCACTGTATCGCAACAAAACAGACGTAAAAGCATCTGGAATTCTGCACTGATCTTATGCATCAGAGTTTAGGTGCATTATTACTTTGCAAAAACATCAGTCTTTAAGGGAATGTCTTTAGGCTATGGAAGCACAGCTAATTGTGCCACAGAATAAGAAGGTAATTTCAACTTTTTGCTCACTCAGTTATATATAATAATAATAATAAATAAATAAACTCAAATTTCTGAAAAGAAAAGTTCAAATAGTGTGATGTAATCTTAAAAATATGTGGAAAAAAGTCCAAATTGTGAGATATAAACTACATTTCTGAGACAAAAAGTCCAAATTGTGAGATATAAACTACATTTCTGGGACAAAAAGTCCAAATTGTGAGATATAAACTTGCGTTTTTGAGAAGAAAAGTACAAGCTGTGAGATATAAATGTATGTTTCTGAGAGGAAAAGTCCAAATTGTAGGATATATTCTCAAATTTCTGAGAAGAAAATTCCAAATTGTGAGATATAAACTTACATTTTTAGAAGAAAAGTCCAAGCTGTGCAATATAAACAATTGTGCAATATAAATTGTGAGATTTAAACTCACAATTGTGAGAAAAAAAGTCTACGGAATGTTAACTGGCAATTCAGAGAAGAAAAGTTCAAATTATAAACATTTTTTAAAAAATCTGAATCATGAGATAAAAAGTTGCAGTTACCTTTTAATTTTTTTTAATTGGTCAGCTTCTATATTAAGCAACATGTCATCAGACTCATTCCTGCAGAAACAAATGCACCAGAAATAACACAACACCACCAGACGTATATATACGGTCGCCGTGATTTTGCCAAGTAAGACATGTTCCTGGATCAACATAACTGTCCAAAAATACAGAGTAAACCCAATCCCTACCCCTAAACCTAACCCTACCCATAACTTATTCCTAAAATCAGAGGGAAATGATAGCTGATTAACAAGGGTGTAGAAGCACCTAACCCTGATCGTAAGCCTAAAACTGACATTTCCTGAAAAGTTATCCCTCAATTCTGATTGGTTGATTGGAATGTTGTTCCAGGATTAACAAGGATGTTGATCCAGGAACATGTTGTACTTGGTGAAATCACGGTCACCTATATATAAAGCACCTTTCCTTACAAAGCACACAAACCATCAGAAATCTGATCTGAAGCGTGACATGTCGAGATGAGCCCGTGGAGGTTTTAAAGCAGTCGAGTGCCTCTCTTCCCATAATTCTCATCACCATCGGCGAGCCCGAAGGACCAAGAGCAGCAAAAACAACAGAATGGAGAGCATCTGTGTCCGTACAGACAGCTGACCTCTGAATAATTCACATAAACACCGGCTGTAAAAGAGAAACTTTACAACCACACCAAACAAAACACTACAGACGAGACAGTCAGAAAGAATAAAACACCCTATTCATGATCAGAAATTCATTCATGCTCCGCAAACACTGTATGATTGCATGAGGATGTTTGGCATTTTCTGCCTGCCGAATGTTATTAAGATCCGTAACCTCGTGGTCACATTTTCTCATAGACCGAACAGACCCTCGAGGTACAACAAACACCTTCTTACATTAACATGGTAAAAATGTGATACACAGTTTATTCTGAGGGAGTTATTTTGTTGGTAGGCCCCGAGTGAATCCTGTGACATTAATCCTCCAGACAGACTGAAGCCTGCGCAGGACACGGTTCATTCCAACTGAAGTTTAAACAGAAAACCCATCATAAACAAACCCTCAGAGCAGGGTGCGAACTACGGGGGAGCTCGGCTCCTCTTAATAAGACATGGGCTCCGTGATTTGTGAAATTTTGGGGGGTCTCAAAAAATACTGACAATGTGTTATTTTGACGTGCAATTTCAGTTTTGTGTAATGTGATCATCGTGGATTATTATGTGTAAAATTGCAAAAATATCATTCATTCATGCATGACGGCGATTTAAACCTAATTCACTTCAATAAAGATAACTATACATGCTATTCTTGTCATGAGCATCGAGGTGTGGGGGCGCTGCGGTGCAAATTCCACTCATGTTTAGTACATGTTAACTCAAAGATTCGTAGAAAAAATATAAACGCTGGACTCTGTGGTCGATTCTGTGTTAAGGTAAGGCATGTTATTCGCAATTATGTGTTGTGGCTGGGTTGTTATAGGTCTGCGTGACTCTCGATGTCTTAGGCCTAATTGAACGGAGGAATTATGGTATTCTTCTGTAGCCTGACGACGACTAAATTTAACCGTTGTTCATGTGAACTCAAAGACAGCCTGATGCTTTGTTTATAGACTATTTGTGGGTGGCTGTTTGTTGTTTCACCTATCAATTTGTGTCGATAAAGTATAATAGGGTAAATCCTGTATAGTGATTTATCCTATATAGTGCTTGCATAAAGCAAGTAGTGCATACACTTGTAGCTGTTATGTATCTTTGTAAGTCATTGTAAGCCACGCGTAAGGCACGCGCAAACGCACGAACCCCCCCGTTATAAAAAAACAAGTGGGCTCCCCCAAAGTCCACGGTATAGTTCGAATATGCACATTTTTTATTTATTTACGTATTTATTTAATTATTTATTAATTCAATTATTAATGTGTGTGTGTGTGTGTGCGCATCTGAATAAAACTATTATTCTAAAAACTAAATTATAGTTTTTAAAACTAAACTACATATACTAAACTAAAAACTATATACACACACATATACATATATTATTAATTTAATTATAGACTCATGAAAATGCATGTTCCTCATATTTATAATCCTGTGGAACAGGAAGTCATGTTTGGACAGTTTCATGCTCCTAGTCACCCTGGTGTGCTAACAACATGTAAACATGAATAGGAATACACTTCAGAGATATTTTACTCATAAGAATTTCTAGGGGTGCCAAGAATTGCGGCACAACATGCATTGGAGAAAAACATTTATTTCATAATGAGATTTTCTCCCCACTTTCCATTGTTTTATTTCAATGATAGGTTAGAATTTTGAGAGTTTTTTTGAATGAAAGATCAAAAAGAAAAAAAATTCAAATTTACATTTACATTTATTCATTTAGCAGACGCTTTTATTTAAATAAAATAAACAAATAAATTTATTATAAATTTCTTTTCACAGCCATCTTTGCTCATATTTACCAAGGGTGTCAATATTAGTGGAGGGCGCTCTATCTATATATATACAAGGCTGCTTAACAGTTGCATGATACATAGAGAGCCAGACTCAAAACACCCCATTAATGTATGTCTAAGGGATTTCTGGGATATTTCATTACCTTTAACACAACCACATTACATGTGAGCTATAAAAGAACAAACTCTGAGCAATACAATTTTTCTTTAGGCAAAGGGTTTTTTCCATAAAAATCACAATCACACACTCCTGAACTGACATAAACAGGCACAAAGCAGTAATCTCGAGGGTTTACCTGCGGAATCCTCCTGTGATGCTGACGGTGGCGGATGGGTTGACACAGATGACAGCTTCCTCCACTATAATCTTCAGAGCGCTGGCCTCTGTCCTGCTCACCGGCTTACTGATGTCCTCATAAAACAAGAACCCTGCCAGCACCAAACACACACATCCACGCGACACAAAATCACATCAGATCTGTTCATTATCTCAATTGTTTTTGCTGGTCTCTCCTGTTTCTCAGATGTTTTCCTCTCACTCTCAGTAACAGAGAAAGAGCATCAGACTTTTACAGCTCTATACTCTGGCTCTGTGTCAAGTATTGACTCATTTGTGTCTATTTGTATTTCACCAAAGAAATTTTAGGGAGAAACATTCGAGAAACTTAAGCAAAAAGAAAACCTGACATCTGATCTATAAAAGAGCAACATCTGACAAATATATCTTACTATCAAACAGTAAAAAAAAATAACAATTGCATCTAAATAAATAAATAAATGATTCACATATATGCAATGGGATATTATGAACAGTTGATAAATAAATAAATATTTTGTGTGTGTGTGTGTGTGTGTGTGTGTGTGTGTGTATGTATGTATGTATGTATGTATGTATATAGTTGACACAGATGACAGCTTCCTCCACTATAATCTTCAGAGCGCTGGCCTCTGTCCTGCTCACCGGCTTACTGATGTCCTCATAAAACAAGAACCCTGCGACCAGAGCGGATGAATAAGAGATTGAATGACAAACTAGACTTTTACACTGTCTGAAGAAAATGTGAGAGGAGTTTCCCTGCGAAAACTCACCAGATTTGGAGAAATGTAGCACTGCATCAGTGTCTCAGCAATGGATGCTCTGCAGTGAATGGGTGCCGTCAGAATGAGAGTCCAAACAGCTGATAAAAACATCACAATAATCCACAAGTAATCCACACCACTCCAGTACATCAGTTAATGACTTGAGAAGACAAAAGCTGAAACAAATCCATCATCAAGATGTTTTTAACTTCAAACCATTGCTTCTGGCCAAAATATGAGTCCATAATCCATAAAAACGTCCTTCAGTGAAAAAGTCCATCTCCAGTTGTCTCTCACATCAAAATCCAGCCACATATTTGTTTAGAGCTGTTTAAACAGTGCTTGATCTGTGCAGATTTCTCTCCTGATTCACACCAGAACACTTTTTCACTGGAGGAAGCGTTATTATGAATTATGTACTGGTATTTTAGCCAAAAGGGATGGTTTCACTTTAAAATGCTGTAACAATGGTTTTGTTTCTTAGAAACACACACTTGAGTC